TTGACTTGTACTCTCCTTTTAATAGGTGCAACATAAGAGATACGATGCCATTCGTAAGCGTTTGCATTGCCAGGTCAACAGACTTCAGTCAAATAGAAGACAACAGCAATGGAACATTCAACAACTGGAAAACACTGCAGCTGCGCTAAGAAAGCGCATAGGGATGCACAAGTAACATGGCACACAGACCAGGACATGGCACACAGACCAGGACAACTCAAATGATGGGACAGTGTTAAGAAAATGGTTTGGATTTTTCACAACCAATATCCACTCTCAGAGGTCTGTCTTCCTGACAGACACATTGTTTTCTTTTTTGAATCAGCCATGCGTTCCAACCCTGCAATTGATTGGAGCAGACAGATTACAGGAAGGTTTACTTGTGAATAGTGGAAGACTCTATGAATGTCCTCAGTGAGTAAGATGTATTGCACTTAGAGTGTTTATAACCATGTCATAGTCACCATCATAATAAGTAAATATCTTAGAAGAAAAGAGATAGTTGGATTTCCAATGATTTAAATTGTAGAAGTATTAGAAAATGGCTGTCTGTTTCAAACTTTTTATTAGAACTTGTTCTTTTACAACCATCTTCACAGTAGCCCATAAATATTGACATTTACAATAATGTTGTTATATGGTCAATGCTACAGATATTTTATTCAGCTTTCTTTTTCACCCAGAATCATTTTTTTCTTTGTGATGGGATAATATAATTTTAGACTATTTCAGTACATAAAATTTTCTGTTCACTGTTTTTGTCTGTGAGTCCTTTATTCCTATTTGGTGAGCAAATTAAATTATAGCATGATAGCATTGTGTAAGGCAAGCATGTTATTTCTGGTAGCTGCCATCGAACAAACCAGCTCTGACTCATAACACCCCAGACACCACAGAATGAAACACTGGCCAATCCTGTGCCATTGCATAACTTGTGGTACCCTCGAGTCCAGGACTGTGGTCACTGTGTATTTTGAGGGCTTTTCACCGTGAGTGGGGGGGACTCTTGTCATCTGTTGGGTTGTCATTGATGAATTTTCAGAAGTAGCTTTAACAGGCCTTTCTTTTTAGCTTGTCTTAGTCTGGAAGCTCTGTTGAAACCTGTCCACCATGGGTGACTCTGCTGGTATTTGAAATACTGGTGGTGTGGCCATGTACTGCCACCATCGTGCAATAAACTGACAGACAGAGGTGGAAGGCAAATATGCAAGCTCATAAAAGAAATTCCAGCCAGTGTAGACTAACAGATACACAGATACCTTTTGTGAAGGCTTATAGGGCAGATCATCAAATAATTTTAACGATTGCAATCCCCTCCATGCACCCTCAACCAACAGTATTTACCTCTATTACCTGTTTTTGTTTGTTTTTTCAATGTACACATACCACATTGTAAACATATATTTGTTTAAATGTCTAAAGGATACATTTTGCAAGCCAGCCTCCTCCCCACAGGCACATTGTTTTTCTCAGTCAATGGGCCCATCGTCCTTTGCCGTCTGTCTCTGCATCACCTCTGCCACCGTCTATTGTCGCTGCTTTTCTGATAAGGATCCCTCACTTCTCTCATGGTCCTCCCTCTTGATGGTCCTAGGGTCCTTCCTCTGTTCCTGAAATGACAGATTAACTGCTCTCCCCTTTTAGTTGTACCTCTTCTACATTTACAATTATAACAATCACCATTAGACCTGATGATAGTTAATCACAATTGAATCATAAAATCCTATCCCCCTCATTACCAGACCCATCTGGACAATAACTAATCCCTTTTAAGATAAAAATATTTTTATAGCTCTACTTAGTCAAATCCTGAAAAGTAGGAACAAAAAATAATTATTGAAGATTAAATTTTAAAATATTTGCTTTTACGATTTAATGATTTCAAAACAACAGCATCAGAAATGTATTGCAAGTCCATTTTCTCCCCCATCATATCACGTAACTGAGATTTAGTAAGCATATAGCTGATAAAACATGGTGTCAATAATCTTATCATGTCTAATATTAATATTGTCTTATTATGACTTGTTGTTAAGTCCCGTTGAGTCGGTTCTGACCCATAGTGACCCTGTATAGGGTTTCCGAGGAGTAGCTAGTGAGCTTGAACCGCCGACCTTGCAGTTCAAATGGATTTGCGGCCTAACGCATTAACCCACAGCACCACACCATGATTCCTTATCATGACTTAGTATGACCTATTAAGGCTAACATTTCAATGACTTATGCTATAACACAGCTTTGACCCCTGACTTAGAAACCCAGCTCTGAATTAAAATGGTCCATCTACACACAATGGTGAGTACCTGCCAGGTTCAGCTGAATGAAGAGCTGATGGTACAAAAATATTTTAATGTTATTGGCGTATGATAAGAGTCTTCTTATAGCTATACTGTATCAATTTATTTATAGTTCACAAAAGGAAAACTCTTGCTCAGTGACCCTTTTAGGTGGTGGAGATTTTCAGATACACCAAGAAGAAGCACAAGCTGAGGTTTCCTTTAAGCCTAATGAAGCAATGCATATGATATTTCAACAGTCACTAATTCTAAATTTAAAACACCAAGTAGTTTTAAAAAGAATTCTCAATAGCTGAACCCAGTTTAGAAGATGAGCTCATCTTCTTTGTGGTCTTCTTCATACAAGTTTCTGGTTTATGACCCAGCCCTATTTGAAAACCCACTCACTTTAGATTTCTTCCCTTTTCTTCTCTCCCAAGTGATGGAAGTACTATGGGGACTACCAGGC